AACCCTAACCCTAACCCTAACCCTAACCCTAACCCTAACCCTAACCCTAACCCTAACCCTAACCCTAACCCTAACCCTAACCCTAACCCTAACCCTAACCCTAACCTAACTAACCCTAACCCTAACCCTAACCCTAACCCTAATACTAACCCTAACCCTAAACTAACCCTAACCCTAACCCATCACGAGCGTTCCCGTCTCCGTCGACCGTCCGTTCACGATGTCGACCCCGCCCCTAACGCTTATCACCGCCGATGGTACCGCGACGTCAACGAACTGCCGGTACGGTTGGGTGCAATTCCGGAGGTTTTATCAAGCTCTCCTCGGCAGCGTTCGGTTTCTCCACTCGTTGGAGAACGTCCAATCGTTGCAGTTCGGTCGCGTGGCCTGGAAGGAACTGCTGAAGACCGACAAGTGGTCGAAGCTTTTCGATCCTGATGCTGCGCCGCAATCAAAGGACGAGCGCCTCCTCGTCGCGGTCACGACCATCCGCGAGCTGGCAAGCAAGTGCCGCGTTGCATTCCCGACAGTCGACCCCAACGTTTCGTACTTTGGCAAGAAGGTGATCGCCAGCGACGTTCAGAGCGCGGCCTGGGGGTCCCTAATCATCTGGGACATCAACGAACATGCCGTCCACCAGGATCTTCTCCTCCTCGCTTACCGTTTCCTTGGGCGCAAGTACCGCGACGGGAAGGTGCCGACGAAGACCTTCGAGGATACCGTCGCCGCCGTCCGCGCTTGCATGGCGGACCATGCTTTCGACTTCGACCGCACACCTGCATCTTCGAACGGCTTCGGGGACGCGGACGGCAGAAGGCGGAGCGACTATGTATACGCGCTGGTGCTCTTGATGAAGGATTGGAAGGTCACAGGGTCGCCGGTGTTGCCGACGTACACGCTGAACAGAGAGCAAATCTCGAAGTCATCTTACCTCGCGTACGAAAGAGCGGTCGTCAACGCGTACATCACGACGTTCCGCGATGAGTTCCGCCGACTCCCCTCCCTCCCCTTCCAGCACCCCGGCATCCCTCCTGCGTGAGTCCCTCGACGCTGTGAAGATACGATCTCATGTACCATGGAGCATATGTTAATGGAAAGATCTTGCTGTACTATATCTTATTGAGCCTTCGTGAATACAACGTAGAGTTTACCTCGCACGAGCCCGAAACAAGCCGTCAAGTGATTCAGCATGACACACGGGCAAGAGTATTAGCTTACACACACGGGAATCATCTGATACGAGGGTCGAAGCTTGCCACAAGGGAATGAGTACATTCACGCAAATAGGATCAGATCCCGAGGTATGGATTGCGAGTCATAATGTACATGAGCAATGAGACTAGTTGGTCACAATACTGAAGCTAAGTACAAGTACGTGCTGGAGATATATATATATGAGCAATACAATGAAGATCTGCCAACAGATTCACGTACTGAAAATACTGAAGGCTTCGAAGATGGTCCAAACGACGTAGAAGAAGCGGTAACCGCAGCCCGGTTGAGAATCAAACAACCACCGTGATATTTGATCCGGCCGTGCGCTGAGGGAAGGAGCGGGTCCGAGGAGGTCTTGATATTGCCCAATCCGAGCGTGAACGGCTTCACGGAGATGGAGGTTGTGGGCATAAACGAAGGCGACGGGCAGAAGGAGTCGGTTGTCGTGATCTGGCGCACCACATACGTCGCCAGATTTTGCCCTCGAAGGCCAGGCCCTGTGAATCTTCGGAAAGTTGCCGCACTTCGCCTGGTCGACGAACGTCAGTCAAAGTACAAGCAACCCGTCAAGGCAATGGCCTTACCGTCGTGAACCCGCACATCCAGCAAAGACCGGGTTTCTGGGCGTGAGCCTTGAGCCATCCGATGTATGTTCCCCGGCCCGTTTTCTGGAACGTTGGACAATCCGTGATGGGATGTTCGACGTAGTTATCCACATTTTGGATCCGACAGATGACGCATGTCTTGGCCGCTAGTTCCCTGATCGTTTTGAGGGCCTCGGCAATCATGGACGTTTGGAAATCGAGTGCCTGGGATGTTGCAATATTCACCTCTGTTTGAGGCGGCCATGTCCAGTCGAAGGTCGCAGCGCTGGGGGGTGGAAGCGGGATGACCGGTGCTATGTAAGTATTTCCCTGTGGCACCGACAATGGCGGTGGCGATGGCGAACGTTCCCTGTAACGAAGGGTCAGCCGAAATGCGCAAGTGTGAGACCGAGAAGCTTACGCTGGAGCCGGGCGGCGATAACCCCTGGCATGATAGGGCATAACCTTGTGAACATTCGGCGGCAGCGGCCGCGTCTTTTGGTTGATGGGTGGGGCAGAGCGTGTCGGCGCCGAGGTTCCCTTGTAAGAATCGCGGCGCGAAAGGGCGCCGCCAGACCCGCACGAGGACTCGACGATGAGCTCAGAGGTTGAAGTCGACGCGCGAGGTTGCGTCTGTGTCGTGCCATGTGGTCCGCGCGACGAGGGACCATCCTGTTTGCGTACCGGAACGGTGAAGTCGGGGAAAGGTCCCGTGAGTCTGGTTGCGTTAGCGAACGGCGTCGGCGTTGGGGACGACGACGGGAGCTGGACCAACCCTCGGCGGCGTCCATGAGGGTGCGGGGCAGGGCTGCCGGATAGCGAGCTGCTGAACACGTCGTCAATTTGCAAAGGAAGCGCCGTCCTTGGAGTTGAGGCCGTGGGCCGTGGCGAAGGAAGACGTCTGGCGACGGATGAGGGCGGCGCGGATGAAGGGGGATTGGATTTGTTTTGAGGCGCTGGGAGGTCGCTGAATATTTGACAGGCCATGGAGGAAGGTATCGATGACGGGGTGCCGACCGTGACATAAGTACAACCGATGCCCTTGCCCTGGATTTGCTTGTCCAACGCGACGGTGTCGATGTCCATGTAGAGGTCGTCGTCGCCGTCGGACAAGCCGTATGTTGTCTCCGAGCATAGATCGATTATTGCATCATGTCCGTGCTTCGTGGCTGGAGGGGAAGGAAGTGCGGGGCGCGCGGGCGCGGGAGGCGTTGCGGGACGAGGCACGGGAGACGAAGAAGGAGGGAGAGAGTAACTGGGAGCAGGAGGATGCGCGGGGATGGTCGCTTCATTCTGCCTGTGTATGAAGTCAGAAATATGAACGGTGTTGATGCACGGACGGGCACACGTACCTTGCACGAGCCACGACCGACTCGCCAACGCCCGGGAAGGCCATGACGTTGGGACGCGGCAGCCCGTCGGTCAACGGGAGGTAGGGGCGAATGGTTGACTCGCCCCAGGCCGGATCCTGACGGGGAAATAGAAGAGGAGGAGGGCGGCGGATAGCCTCCTCGCAGTTCATGCATAGCTGGACATTTGCAAGCTCCGGGCAGGAAATATTACGGTCGTCAAAAAACTGGCTGAAGGGAAGCCGCAAGCAATCGGTAGAGCGAAGAGCAGAAACGATGTCGGCGTCGCCTAGGAGGTTGTGTGCCTTCGGAGGGTGTCGGAAGAACTTGGGGTCGGTGATGTCGATGAACCATGCTCGGGCGGGTTGTCCATCGCGACCAGCCCGTCCTGACTCTTGCTCGGCGAGTAGGAAGTTGCTGGGGAGGCCAAAGAAAAACACGTCGCGGACGTGTGGGACGTTAATGCCGTACCCAAGGGCGAGAGTCGCCGCGACGACTGGACCAACTTCAGACCATTGGTCGTAGACCTCCTTTTGCTCTTGCGGAGGCAGCTGGCCCGAGTAGACCTGACAAGATAGAACCGCGGAGATGTCTTCGCACTGGCTCACGGAATGCGCGAAGACAATGGCGCGATCCTCGGGGCCATAGTTTTTCAGGCGCTCCTCAAACTCCGCGCCAATAAAGTCGATAGCTTTATATTGGTCCGAGAAGTGACGATACAGATACTTAATCTCCGGTCGAACGATTGGCGCGCGAACGGTCCGGGGCTGGCGGCTGCCCAATGCCGACAGCAAAGTCGGGAGGATACGCTGCGGGGCGGTGGCCGTGAGCAATATAACGTGCAGGCTGAGAGCTCCGAGGCGCGCGAGCTGATGGAAACAGTCACGAAACGACGCGTGTTCAACGACGAGGTGGCATTCATCGAACGCCAGCGCGATGAGCTTCGTAAGCGCAGCTTGATCTTGTGCCCATCGGTAGAACTCCCGAGAGCCGGCGTGCTCGGGCGATACGAGGATCACAGACGCTTCCGGGGTCTGATTATCGAAACCCCACACGCTGTAAGACAGATGCAGTCGTGTACATTTCTTCGCCCACTCTTGAAGCAACGCAGAGATCGGTACGACGACCGCGATAAACTTGCCGCAGGGCCTGTAGTAGTGCGCGACGACGAGCGGGACGAAACTCTTGCCGGCGTTGGTAGGCAAGACGGCCAGCACGTCGTGACCAGCCAACGCGTCGGTGATGGCCTCGCCTTGTTCAAAGCAACGGAAAGACGCGTCCGGGTCACGGAGCAGGTCACGAAGAGCCTTAAGTGCCAACGCTGGGATTCGCTTCTTCTCCTTCGGAAGTGTTTGCTGCGACTCGGATACACGAGGAACAACAGAAAGGATGGAGGAAACTGTATGCGCGAACGACGGGTTCAGCGCGTCAGCCACACCGCTGAGCACAAATTGCGCCGTTTGCTTCTGGGACTCGAGCGTCGGAACGCAGACTACCGCTTGAGGATTGACAGCAGCGGTGGCGAGTGTCGCCTGCGGCGAGTCGGGATGGGCACAAAATCCGAGTAAAGATTGATGAAGCTGAGAGCCGTACGTGAACCCTCGCAGTTGGTACGGGCTCACCGACCTCATCATCGAAAACGACAAGGCGTAAAACCTGTCTTCCGTTTCGGGCGTATGACCTCGCTGCTGGGCCATGATTCGGTGCCACCGATGGAGCGCATGTTGCTGCGTGTCCGCGTCGAGGTTCAGTTGGAAAGCTTCAACTGCGGCAGACGCGGCGCGAGCGTCGTGAATGTTCAGTTCCACGCCGAGATATTTTCGCATAAGACCGGTCCAGGTGCTCCCAAGCGCGTCGGGTCGTCGGGTGCCTGCTGCCAGAGGGAATACATCGTCATACATCCGCATCCGCGCGTCGTGGCCGTGAGTCTGAGGATCGGTTCAGCATTGAAACGTCAGATAGAAAAGGGGAAGGTTGGCTCACATCCTCTACGAGATACTCCATCGCGGGCTGCACGATTACCTTCGACCAAAGCAGTAGCTCGCGCAGTTGTTCCGGCACGAGCTTGGTGGTGACCTTCTGCTTGCCGGTCGCACCAAGGTTCTTGTGGTAGCCGGTGACGAAGTAGAACTCATCGGTAAACACGTACAGGCTCCGCATATGTCCCTGCTGAGTGTTGCTGCCGATGAGCGCCTGCCATTCCGTCGCACGCCCAGGGGCACCGCAAGCGAACCAGGTGATGGCCAGGAGTATTTCCTGGACGCGGTTGTAATGCGCGTAAACTTTTTCGACCTCGGCGACATGCCAAACGGACTCGCCGGGTAGAGCCTTTTCGTTCACAAAACGTTGGCGCGTGCGCTGAGTCGCGGTCCATAGTTCGAGCAGAGTCTTGCGGTAAGATTCGAAATTGTTGTCCGGGTGCAGTGCGAAGGAATAGTGCAAGGCTGTATTGTGCGGCGAGTCTACCAAGCCGGTCCGCTTGAAGTCGAACGCCGCGTGAGTAATGGGGATGCCGCACAGAATTTCATCCTTGATGATGCGCATGGCTTCCTCTGCGGCCTTCAGTATCGCATCGCCGATCGTCAACATGCCGATGACCTTCCCGTGATGAGACCAAGTCCTGTAGTTTTTATCGGCGAATTGAATCCATGGCATGCCTTCGTCGTCCAACCGAATGCTGCAAATGAGTCGATGCGTGCAGAGGACGAAGCCAAGCGGCATGGACGACTCGAGAACGAGACACTGGTTGATTAGGTGAAATATCCTGAGGGAAACCATTGAGCAGCGGCATCACGAATTGACCGGAAATGTGACTTACTCAAGATATGGCACGTCCCTCTCTTGCGAGTACAAAACGCCCTGCACGAAGGCAGAGAGACGACAGATATAGAGAATGGGCGATATCATGTGCGCGATGACGGTGGCAAACTTCAACTGTCCGTTCGCGTCGTACGAGCTGAGCACGAGAAAGTTGTACAGGAGCGTGTAGAATTTACTGGGATTACAGCCGACCTTTTTGTGAGACACGAGAGACCAGAGGAGACGGTGAAGAGCCTCGATGACGGGACGATCGGCGCCGAAACGTTCCATGATAGGCGTCTTCATGCGATCCTCCTCCAGCTGCTCCATGCTGACAGGCAGCACGTTGTTCGCGTACGCGTTCTCGAGCTGATTGAACAACTCGAGAGAAGAGGTCCGCTGGTCGTCCGTGAGAGGCATGGTGACGTTCTCAGGAAGGGCGTCTCGAGCGGCGCGGATGGCAAGACGCAGGGCGGGGACGAATTTGCGGACATAATCGGGCCAGGTCTGGGTGCGGCGGATTGAACCCTTATACTCGTCTTTCCTGAAGAACAATGAGACTTCGGATTCGACGCGAGAGACGGCGGATGGACTTACAATCCGATATTAACAAGCTTCGACTGGATCGTGTAGGTCTCATCCTCCAAGGCGTACAAGGCGACGTCAATATACCGTTCTAAATAAAGCGAAAGTAGATCGACGGCGTCCGGATCATTCGATTCGTCAAGGATCTCTTGAATTTCGGCGCCGCTCTTGCCCTTCACGTAGCGTAGCCATCCTTCTCGCAGCTCGAACGTTGAGAGCTGCCGAAGGTTCTCTGGGGATTTGATGGGGACTTGCTCGAAGTCGGGTTCGACGAGCCGCGAGTTGACCAGGTTCCAGGCCTCCTTGGCTGCGGCATCGTTGATGATCGGCTCCATTGCGCAATACTCGACAGGGAAGTACCGCCGCATCCGACTGCCGCTGAAAAACGTCTGAGCCTTCGCCCGATAAGTACGCTGAGAAGAGGGGACGGCGGAGGAGTCGGAGAGCGCGCGGCACTTGTGCGTGCGCGCCAGAGAACTTTCGGAGACGGAACCGTGATTGCAAGACGAGCAGAAAACGATGGACGGGTGGATCTTGAGGCCGTAGTGAATCTTGCGGTTGCGCGGCACGACCTTCTTCATCTCGCGAGCGCCGCGAAGATCATGGAGAGTACAAATGGCGCGGATGCGTTCAATCTCGTCGTAAGAGAGGTGTTGATAATGGCTGTTATTGAAATGCCCGTGCAAGTGGGCAGGGTCCAACGCGTATCCACACCGTTCACGCGTGCAAATAAGTACATGGTACTGCATATCCACTACACAAAACGCTCGTTTGAGGAGGCTTCTGTCTTCATCGTTGTCCAGCTGCAGGTGGTGCGGGCCCGGATGGACTGTGGCCTGCAAGCGACGGATCTCAAGCTTCCGTTCTTCCGCGCTGAGATGTCGGGGAATGTCCGACGATCGAAGAACGGGCTCGCGTTCCTCATCCGAGCCGACGAGAATGTCCTCGCGATCTTCGTCTTCATCTTCCGATCCACTCTCGCTGACAGAAGATCCACCGCGGGAGGAGGGGCGGTAGCTCGAATCGTAATCCGAACTGCCGTCTGGGAAGTCGCCTTGAGGTGCGGCGGAAGGGTCAGGAGGGGCAGCCGCGGTAATGTCTTTCGGGGCCGCAACGTCTGGCTCAGGGTCCGGATCGACGTACTCGATGTCGTCCCCTTCAACGTCCCCATGAGACAAGGAGTTATGAAGAGGGGGAACGCGTGGGGCCAACACCTCATCGGAGCTGCAGGCGGCGTCCCGTTTGACCCTCTGACGAAGACGCATCTGCGCGTCGATATCGCGGTGCACCCCTGTATCTTCATTGGCGGCAGATGACTCCGTGGACGAGACGCGCTTGCGCTTGCGGGGAGCATCAAGATGGTGATCCGAAGGTGGCGGAGGCCGAGGTTCGTTGCCGCGAATGGTATCCGGCCGTCCAGAAAAATGACGGGCTAGTCCGCCGAACAGGCCGGAAACTACTGCCCCTAGACGACCGCTCGATGAAGGGTCAGGCGGGGAGGGTTCGGCGGGGAATGACTGGGGAACTTCCCATAAGGGAACGGGCAGGGAGGGAGGGGGCGGATGAGGTGCGGCGATCGCAGCGACCGTCGCTCGCGCCGCAATCTGTGCATTCATGACACGGCATCCTGCCCTCGCCAGATGAGTCTGCAAAAAAAAGTTAAATGAATGAAACACTGAAACGACTAATCAGAAGCGTACCCGGAAAGCCTTCGAATGGCGCGTCTGCCATGGACAAAGGGGGCAGTGGAACATTCCCGTCGACTGGTCGCGCGGAACGGCATATAGGTTGCCGTCCTTTCCCGTGCATTTGACTTCCTTCTGGTGTCGTCCCCGAACATGCGCATCCTGCGAGTCGTACAGATCGTCGTTGGGATAGGGACAGCCCGGCGCAGGGCACTTGTACAAAACGGTTGGAGTCATGACGCTGGCACAGCAGGCGAGGCGCAAGAATGGGCGGGGCGAGAGTGGAGACGGCACCGACGAACCACGAAAGATACTGTCCGGCGAGCGCGAACCCGGCGGTGAGGAGATCCCGAGATCCAAGGACCAGGTAACGGGCTAAGCAGTCTTGAATGACGACCGAGGGAGACGGGGGGTCCGGAGTCCAGCGGAGGGAACGGGGCACGAGGATCTGAAAATACGACCGAAACAAACGGAAGGAACGAGTCCTTCCGCCCACTGACGTCGAGACGAGCCCGACGCGCGGTTTAGCAAACGCGGTTGAGGGGATATCGGAGGGAGCTGGCGGCCGCGCAGCCACAAGTAGTCGCTATCGAAAAGGTAAGTAAATAAAAAAAACCAGAGCGAAGTAGGAACTTACGTCTTCGAGAGAGAGAGGAGGCCGGCGGAGAGGTGAGGGCGAGAGGAAGAGGCGGGATATGGGGGGAGCGACGTGAACGTCCTCATTATGAGGAGAAATCTGAAACGTAGCAACTTCGTCAGTATCCGTAAAAAGAAAAACAAGAGCGGAAAAAGACCCTCCTGACGTCGTAAAACGACGCCGGAGGGCGTATGACCGGGATCGTCGAAGAAGAAATAAAAAGGAAGCCAACGAGGGCGCACCTGATGCCGTCCCTCGCAACGCATACTAAACGCCCTCGTCTTGCGGGCAGACAGGGCACGCGTTGGCGACGCCGAGCTACGTAAGCCCGCCCCGTTGGGGGCGGGAAGGGCGCGGACGGAGACGCAGGCGGAGGCGGAGGCGGGACAGCGACGAGACGGGGGGCGAAGAGGGGAAGAAGGAAGAGGGAAGACGTCGAGTAGCCCTAAGCCCAACACCAACCATCACCATCAGCGCCCATCACGGATCGACAGATGGAATCCCACGATGAAGCCTGCGTCGACCGTTTACGGTCGACGCAAGATTCCTTTCGCACGGTCTGCGTCGGGCCGGGGACGCACGGGCAGTGTTACCACGCGACCGGCGGCGGCAGTCCCACGATGAAGCCTGCGTCGACCGTAAACGGTCGACGCAACATTCCTTTCGCACGGTCTGCGTCGGGCCGGGGACGCACGGGCAGTGTTACCACGCGACCGGCGGCGTCAGTCCCACGATGAAGCCTGCGTCGACCGTAAACGGTCGACGCAACATTCCTTTCGCACGGTCTGCGTCGGGCCGGGGACGCAGGGGCAGTGTTACCACGCGACCGGCGTCGTCCCACGATGAAGCCTGCGTCGACCGTAAACGGTCGACGCAAGATTCCTTTCGTGGCAGTGTTGCCACGCGACCGGCGGGGTCGGCAGAGCAGAGGGTGTTCAAACAAAAACATGCGTAGATATATTCCTGCCATACGAGTTCCCGCACCAATATTAAGCGGACTCGGATGTAGGTACTTACAGACGTTTGGAACGGGTTCACATAGCTCGACGCACAGTTTTTACTTAGCCGTTCTTGCGCAAGAGCGTCGACGCACTTTGCTTTTTATTTTTCTCGAATTAAAAACTTCGACGCATCGCGATTGAAGACTCATGCCGCCGTCTAAAATCACGAAAAAATGCGTAGGGAATGCGGGCGACGTGTATCTATTTTCTGAGCCCCCGACCATCGCTGCACTGCCACATCCGCACTCACAAAGTGATGTTCTTCCTGCTGGAAATGCGATTTTTTTTCTGTGAGATTGGCTCATACATTTTTTCCCACGATGGTCCGACACTATGCACACAATCTGTGGCTATGTAGACAACATAAAAACATCCAAAACTGGGACGGACGGAATTGAGGCTCAACTCCTAGCTGGGCCATGGATAGGGCTGGCAGTCTCGAAGCGCACCTGGATTATAGAAAAGTGTCTTGATCTACTTAATGACGAAGCTAATTACAAGCCTCTCAACGAGTGGCAGCTTATGCAGATCATGAATAGAAAAAAATCAGCCATCACCGCACTTGCTGGCGATGTTACTAATTGTGACATTGTTGTTTCGGCGTATATGGCGCAGCAGAACATTGATACGGATGCTCTAGGGAAGTTTCTCAGATCACAGTTATGGGAAACTATTGAGCAATGCAAAAAAAGCATTCCTTTATTCTATGGTATCCCAAAGATCCATAAGAAGCCGACTAAAATGAGACCTATAATACCTTGTCATTCGGCCGCTCAAAATCCCGCTGCAAAATACTGTAGTAAAAGACTCAAACCTCTCATCCAGGAGGCGCCAGCCATTATACATGGAACCAAAGACCTGGCGATAAAATTGAGCCACTTGTCTCTCGACGAAAACAGGAAATACTACATTGTCACTGGCGATGTAGTGGCGTTCTATCCAAATATCCCGTTAGACCACTGCCTTGCTATCGTCAAGCAAATGCATGCGGACTATTACATGGGTAAACGACTGAACACCCCTCTCGAAGAGGATGGACTGAATTTCGCCTGCGATGTTTTTGATCGCTGTCTCGATATCGGGAATAGGGAGCTAGTGTGTACATTCTGGGGAAATCTTATATTCCAACAGTTGCAGGGTCTGGCGATGGGAGTCGCTGATTCACCTGATTTGGCCAACCTTTACGGCTGGTATTTCGAGCAACGTTGTGGCGTCCTCACCGATCCTAGAATTCCTTTCTATGGTCGATACATCGATGACTGTCTCGCAATCGTCTATGCTAACAGTGAGAATGAAGCTGTGGCGATTCTTGAAAGTAAAGTACAATTCGATGGATGTACGTTAGAGTGGAACGCGTCTGAGCATTCAATGCCTTTCTTAGATATGCAGCTTTATAGGGACTCTGACGGGAGTTTGCAGCATAGACCGTATCAGAAAGCGCGTAACCACAAGGAGAGAATTCCATGGATATCCGCCCACCCCCTCGACGTTAAAAGAGGCACCTTCATTGGCGAGATGTCTAGATTGGCCACGCTTAGTAGTACCTTACCAGTCTACCAGGACGCCGTGTACGACTTAGTGAACCTGTACAGTGCACGTGGTTATCCAATCGAATTGTGTAAAGCTTGGGCTAGGAAGCACGTTACAGAACGCTGGAATGTCCGATTGGATGTTTCTCGTCAGATATCTGATGGCGCGAGCGACGTTCTGGTCCTTAAGTCTGAGTACAATACAGCATGGAATTATTTCTCCGCCACGGAGTTAGGAGATACTATCTTGGGATATTGCAAAACTTGGCTCGTTAGAGCAAAAGAGGGTCGGTACAACCGGGAGTTTCCCTGGTTTGGTAATGACTACGGGGACTGTAACGAGACTGATGGCCAGTTTCTGTCAGAGGTCGTTAGTCGCGACCTTGTGGACCTGGACGACTCTGACGAGTCGGCTAGGGATGATACACCTCTCAGCCCGCAGACTACATACCTGCCAGATTTATCGAAACTCAGTATCCCATCGGCGCGCATGTTGGTTTCACGTAAACGTACGAGGAATCTCATGGATTTAACAAATCTTTGGAAGCGCGAAGTATTCTTCAGGATAGACGCCGGCTTAGGCGAGGAGGCTACCACACAACCTCCTCTAGATGATGCCCCTGATGTAGCGGTTGAGCCCGAAAGGGAGCCCGTTGCTGGACCATCGAATCCTGAGCCCTCACCGGAGCCCTATTCCGCCTTTGTTGAACGGCAGGACCGTTTAATATTAGACGAGAAAGGAGAAATCATAGGGCACCGGGCGTCGTCGCCAACATCCAAAGGCTGGAGAGCTGGGGCTTGGTGAATGGTCGTAACTGGCCGCCACCTTCTCTCGACCCGGCTTCTCTACGCCAAACCTTTGGTGTTTCTTGTAAGTTGCATTACTGGAGTATGTTCCCATCGACCTTACTGATGGTGAGCTGCCAGTTCTAGCGCGACAGGGCCTGTTCACGTCCGTCCTCAACACGTCGACTTCGTCGACGGTCTACTATGAAAGGTAGTTTAGTTGGAACTTACAGTTATACGTTGTCATGTTCTCGGGCCATAGTTGCTCGTCTCGGAAGTGTCGGTGGTATTGTGTGCCTCGGGCCAACAGCTTTCCTTCTGGATGCCTGTTGGAGGAATCCCTTAGGGCAACGGGTTGACACCCCTGGGTTACCGTCCCAGGTGAGTGGCTAGACTCCTGGGTTGTACCGCCAACTAGTTGGTTATGCCGAGGTCCTTGGCCTGACCACTGATACTTTCTGATGCGGGATACGTTCCCCGGTCTTGACGTAATTCGTATAGGCAATGACATTGTCCGCTCCGTGGTAGCGATTCTTAAAGAACAACAATCTTGTAGGTACTTCGGTCTGCACTTGGTCGCGCAGACGGTATTAACCTTAGGTGTTATGAGACAGGTCTCCTAACCGGTAAGCTAACCCTAACGTAAGTACCCCTCTTGACCAAAGAGGATTCAACGTCAACTAAGGAACATTGATACATAGCCTAACCCTAACCGGCTAACCCTAACAGCTAACCCCTAACCATGGGGTTCCGAACCCTAGCCTAACCCTAAGGCTAGGGTTCCCACGATAAGGTACGTGGGTCAGTTTGCTTACGTAAACTGATGGTGGCTGTCCGTAGAAGTCTTCGGCTTCCCCGGGCCGGTCGGCCCGGCCGGCATCTCCGCAGTGGGAATGTCTTGGCAGCGGCACGGCGGCATCTCGGCCGGCTCGTCCTTTCTTAGTACGCCGAGCTTCGGCTCGGAGGGGAACGGATCGGAACGGGCTCGTCGAGGTTCTGCTGTCCCTGTTGGGATGTTTCTTCCTACGGTGTGTGTTCTGCCGTGTCTCGGCTCCCGCGCGGCTCTCCGTGCGGGATTCTTTGTTCCCGATTAGGTGCGTAACCCCGTTCCGTCGTCTTGGCGTTGATATTTTTGTTGTCGCCGCGTCGGCCTCTCGGCCGGCGAGGTGTCGCTCGGTCATCTCGGGCAGAACCCTGATGAGCCTATAAAGGCGAAACAGGGCTGGCTGGGGATCCCCTCAGCCACTGTCGGTTCTGCTTTCGCCCCCGCTCCTCTCTCTGTTG